CTTTCAATTAAATTCTGTTCCTCACTGTATTAATCTATTAACCTTAATTTTGTTACTTCCATTCAAAATATGTTAATTTACTCCTTGCTTGTGACATCACGGTCTGTTGGAGGGCAAATTAAATATGACAAATATGACTGCCTTTTCTGTAGCATTTTCATGAGAAGGAAGAAATAGTTCTAAAATGCAGTGATTCGTTTTCATAATACTAAAACTCATTCGGTATTCAAAAGCTCTAAGTAATTATAAGAAAATTTGAATTTACTTCTGCACATGGTCATGAAAAAGTAGTTTTCTTATGCTGCACAAACCACTACACATTGCAAGAAACTGTTGCACTAAATTCTGGGCTTTAAAATACTAAGGAGAATCAATAATTTCACATTTGGTCCTCTCAGATATTTCAAAGAATATTATCACCATGAAATTCTTTTTCCTGAAAGAAAATAGCTATCACACAAAATAGTAGCTTGTGCATGAAACTTCCAGATCCTTATAAAAAGCCCAGTGCAAGAAACTCCAACTTCCCCTGTCTTTTCCACCCATGCTCTTCCACAGATCTTAGAAAATCCAACCATAGAGATTTCTTCTAAAGATTCTGTTTTGACTGTGAGCAGGACAAAAAAATGCTGTCAAGTCTTCTTTTTGCTTTACTGGGGCTGAAAACACTGGATCATACCACATCATCTGCTGGACTGATAGCCCAGCACGTATAAGGCAAATATGAACCAGCACGTATGAACTAGTATTTTCTGGATTAGAAACATTTACTCAGATGTATAAATCTCTCATAACAACTCAACTAATTAATTGCATTTTGTTTTAGGTATTCACTGGGATATTCACAGCAGAAATGGTACTAAAGATAATTGCCATGGACCCTTATTATTACTTTCAAGAAGGCTGGAATATTTTTGATGGTATTATTGTTAGCCTTAGTTTAATGGAGCTGGGTCTTGCAAATGTTGAAGGATTATCTGTTCTTCGGTCGTTCAGACTGGTAAATACCTTGATAATTAAATATTTGCATGCAATTGTCTCAGTCAAAACCAATGTACTGATGTCTGTGATAAAGACAAGTGTTGTAAAGATGCATCATAGAATCATAGAATGATCTGAGTTGGAAGGGATGGCTTATATTATTTTTCATATATGCATAATTTGCAAGCCATATTTGAAAAATACAATATTAAAATGTTTGTCAGTTGATATCCTCTGATATCTTTTGGTATCAAATTATTCTGTTGATATCCTATCCTATTGATAACCTTTGCCAGCGTAAGACTAACTGATACCTTTTGAGAATTTTAGTAAATCTTAGTAATTCTGATTTCATCAAGATGCATCAAAGCCAAATATCTGTAACAATATACATATTGCCACCAGCATAAAGAATCATAACATTTTTAGTCTTTATATTGTGAGCATTACTTTTTCATTACACATAAAGCCCCTGAGTAGATCCCCTCTTCACATCTATTTTAATCGGCACTAAGATTTAGTAACTCTATTGTGTATCAGAGAGAGTCATAGCAATCTGATCTTAGAATAATGCTTAATTTAAAGTACCATTGAGCTTTGACTAGAAATGTCTTTTGTATAGCAATTAGTATTGTAAGCAAAGAGCTTTGTAGGTATGTTTACTGGAGGCACAAGATTTATGGTTTAAAAGCTTATATTACTAATAGTTATCACATTACTTGAAAACCTAGGTTATATCTAAATATATAGAGCAAGAAGTAATGACTATATACTGTTCTGTTTTTCAGCTTCGAGTTTTTAAGTTAGCAAAATCTTGGCCAACTCTAAACATGCTGATTAAGATTATTGGCAACTCAGTGGGAGCTCTGGGGAATCTGACCCTGGTGCTGGCCATCATTGTGTTCATTTTCGCTGTGGTTGGGATGCAGCTGTTTGGGAAAAGCTACAAGGAATGTGTCTGCAAGATCTCCAGTGACTGTGAACTTCCACGCTGGCACATGCAAGACTTTTTCCATTCTTTTTTGATCGTCTTTCTTTCCTGATTGTATTCCGAGTGCTGTGTGGGGAATGGATAGAAACGATGTGGGACTGCATGGAGGTTGCCGGCCAAACCATGTGCCTTATTGTTTTCATGCTGGTCATGGTGATTGGAAACCTAGTGGTATGTGATGAACATTTTTGAACATTAACTCTGATGCAAAATGTCCCTACCTTACAGCTAGGCAATGAGAACGTTTGTCATCCTGTTGAGAATTGGAAAACAAAACTGATTTTGAGTGAAAACGTCTGATGATTCCCCTCTCCCCTTTTTCACTCATTTCCATACACCGAAGTACTCGCACTGTAGGTCCAGGAATTTAGGAATATCCGAAAATGTTAAATTAAACACCCTCTCACAGCAGTGAGTGCTGCAGCTAATTTAGAGGTGCTGTTTAAATCCATACGTCTTCCTAACTACTCTTGAAATAATAATGCTTATGTTACACCAGCTCCCGGGCAGCCGCTTCTTTAGAGAGAAAAACATCTAACATTCTTAGACCCATTATGGCTAATTCTAAAATTAAAATGTTCTTATATGGAGTATCTTGAATTTAAGAACTAAACTTTTGGGTCTGTTTAGGTGTAAAAAAAAAGAAAAGAAACAGAGTGATTAGACATCTGCCCTAAAAATGTCTTTGAAAGCTTCTAAATCAAAATTACGGAGGAAACATTTATAGTAAAACTGTAGTTCAGGCTGACAAGTTAAAATGCCAAAGGTTCAACTGATAAATATTGAATTGGTGAGAACTTCATAGAAATCAGGTTTGCAGCTGGAATATACCATTTACAATTTTAGTTTATTTTAAAGTTTCTTTTACTCTTAATCTTTGCGGTTCATTCTAATAATACCTAAAAAATATATTTGATTACCTGTCAAAATTCTCTTCCTTTAGTGATATATTTAATCTGATTTAAATCTGTATAAAATAGTATTCAAAATATTTGTATCCTAGTCCTTTACATGACCTGGCAATCTTGACATTATATCAGCAGAAATATGCAGAGCCCCAGAAAGCTTTTTATGATCACTAACCTTTTCTACTATTTTTTACCATTAGTTTCAGCATAGAAATACTGTTTCAGGTTCATATTGTGTTCTTTCTTCCAAGTGTCTTTTTACCTTCAGGATTCTTTTCCGAAATTCGGAAAGTCTGCAGAATTAAATCTCATAGAGAGTACAAATGAGGGACCTATTACATTTAACAATGGGGAAGTTTATTTATGCCATTTTGCCCTATCGTGACAACTTTTGATGCCTGATGGCGTATCAGCCTGAAAGTATGAAATGATTAATTGCTTGTAAGTTTCAGTAAATAGCTACAGTTTATAGATTATAATAAAACAACAGTAATGATGTTTGAATTCTGAGCAATAAACCAGAGTTCTCAGGCAACAGTGAAGCTAAGATTGGTACCTGCTGATGAGAGGTCCATTTCATTGTAAATTCCTACCTAAAAGCAAACAAATTTTTCATGTTTTGACAAGTATAAAAGAAAAAAATCCAATTACAAATAATATAATATTATTATAAATAATCAAGATTAAAGAGTAAAATTAATTTTTAAAGATTCGTTTTATCCTTTTACGACAAGCTTCATATAATTTAAGAGACAAGCCCAGAACTGACAGGAAATCAGAGTCTCCTGGTATAATCTCCCAAATAGTAGTTAGAGAGTATAAGTAGGTTATTACAGCATTAACTGATGTTTCTAAAATATCTGCATCATAGAAACCCATCTAATTTTATGAATCATGCTTATTTAATTCTACTTAAAAAACAAATGATTTTAAGAGATTGAGATGGAAGCCTTTCAAACCTCTGATAAATGTATATAGCTAGAATTTTTTTAACTTTTTTATAATTTTAGAGTCTAAGCAACCATGACACTTCAAGCAAGTATCAAAAGTTTCAAATACTTAGGTATTAGATTGTCTGTTTTCATCTTCTGAGTGAATATTGATCAAAACATGTAAGGAGATCTTTTGTAATTTAAGGTGCTACATGGTTGTCTAAAATTAGCTACTGTTTTTCAGAATATTGTGTGCTACTTGACAGTATCCTGTGAAAATACTTCTTATATACAGCTGTATTCTCTCATCTTTTAGGTATTGAACCTATTTCTGGCCTTGCTGCTGAGCTCATTTAGTTCAGACAACCTTGCTGCTACCGATGATGATAATGAAATGAACAATCTCCAGATTGCTGTGGCAAGGATTCAGAAGGGAATAGATTATGTTAAAAAAAAGATACAGGAGTTCATTCAAAAAGCCTTCTTTAGAAAGCAGAAAGCTTTAGAGGAAATCAAAGCACTTGAAGAGCTAAACAAGAAGAAAGACAGCTGCGTTTCCAATCACACTGCTGTTGAAATAAGCAAAGATCTGAATTATCTTAAAGATGGGAATGGAACCACCAGTGGTGTAGGCACAGGCAGCAGTGTGGAAAAATATGTAATCGATGAAAACGATTACATGTCATTCATAAACAACCCAGGCCTCACTGTGACTGTGCCAATTGCACTTGGAGAATCAGATTTTGAAAATTTAAATACAGAAGAATTTAGCAGCGAATCGGATTTGGAAGAAAGCAAACAGGTAGGATTTGGTGTATCTTAACGTGTTACATACTTTTCAATTATATATTTAGAATGGTTTAAAAACTTTCTTATCCCATGTAAATATAGTTTATATTATTTTATGTAATTATAATTCAAGGAAAAGATTACACTACATGATGGGATACTAGCGGGGGTTCGTAGACTTTACATTTTTAATATTCTGTTTATTAGTATTTAGAAGACGTTTCATTTTAAATGTAATTATTTCCTTCACAATTTCATGAGGTTTTAGTACTAGCACACATTTCGTAAAGCATTCTTTCTCTAGTACCTGTAATGCAATCAGGATTTATGGAATAAGAGTGTTGTAGACGACCAAGGAACAATCAAGAGCATATAGCTTTGCATACTCAATCAAATATAAGTGGAGAAAAATATTTTTTGTCTATATTTAGAGTAGTTCTAAAAATGAACCCGGAGACATCATAAATCAGTAATGTGGTCTGGATGATCTAAAAAATTTTATGAGTAATATTCATACAGGTTTTGAGTTCAGAGGCTGCAGCTCGCTGAATCGAGGTAATCCAGATGCCCACCAATGTCACGGTAAAGCGGTATCTCAAGTTATCCTGGAGAGCAGAATAATGTTGTAATAGGGATGCATGTGGAAGCAGTTTACTTGAAAGCCTTACGTTATTATTACTTTGTAGAGAGACAGAAGTTGGTTTAAAAGCCAGGAGCTACGTGCCTTAAAATATAAGTGGTTCACATACCAGAAGTGATCATGAGCAGGTGATAACGGTATTCAGGGAAAACTTTCTATGTTGGAGTAATGACCAATGACAAGCTGATAAACGCATCAGTTGTATTAAATGCCGTTAGAAATGTAGGGGTTGTGAGGTTTAAGGAACCTTGGGTAAATGTTTTCAATTAGATTAAAAGCTATAATGTTGTGTGATAACTTACTGATACAACTTATTGATACCATAAAGAAAATTCTTCTATAAAGCAGCCCTGCATTCATGACTGTATCATAGCTGTGTAGCTGCCATACTTGCAGATCCTGCTGTGTTCTTCAGCGATACCAAACTATACCACATAACATTAATGGGTAGCCCTGATGCAGTTCATCATAGTACCTTTTTTTTTGCTAAAGAACATAAAGGAACATAGAGAGTGTGTGTTTATTTGACACTGCATGGAAGGTTACTCTGCAAAACAATTGTAAGGTATTCTGAGTTGATCAGTGATGAGACAAATGTTTTCAATGCAGATGTGTAAGACAGTATAGCCATAGTGCTTATCCGTAACAATTTGAGAATACAAGAGATACAGGCAGTGTAAAGTGGTACAATTCACGAGATCAGCTAATATGAAAAAAAAAAGCTTTCAGAGTGACTCTGGGTCTGAGGGTTAAGTATTTTTCACATAAGCTGATCTAATAAGAGTTCATTGTCTTTTCTGAGGAACCTTGAGCTAAGTCTCCTAAGTCTTTTCATATACTCTGATGTTCTTAAAATGACATTTTATTACAAATTTTCTGCTTTCCTGTGGTTAGTTTTGGTAAATGCAGTGATGAGTGCCTTCCTAGTAACTCCACGTTATGCAGTTCCATGCCTAAAAATCTCTTGAATAAGTTACTTTTTTTAAATGCTTGTACTATGCATTAGGAAGTTGGGAGGTTTATAAGCTCTGTTAAACCTGGGGTTATGTGACATGTTACCCTCAGCAGTAGAGCTGGCTTGGGAAGTTCCCATCCACATATGGCTCCTGATCCCCTGGCAGCTTTTACTGCTTTCTCTGCTACAGTGCTTGTGGGTCTATACCATAAGGCAAGTCACTGGGGTGATGTAAGTTAAATAGCATCATCCCATAGGTATTATTTATTTTGTCTTTAAGATAGATCAAATGGTTCAGTTTACTGTGTACTGCCATACTAGCTATCAGAACAGCTGAGGACAAAACAAAATACAATGCAAAGGCAGAAACTCCTGTACTTCCCAAGAGAATATATGATAAAGTACACCCCAATAAAATGTAGTTCTTTAAAAAAAACCTTTGTTGTGCTGAGTTCTGAATTATACTGATTTCAAGGTGACTTTCACAAGTCAATTGCTTGGTTCAGGCATCATGCTTTTGTCTTCCCAGGCCATCCTGAAGTTTCAGGACCATAATCATTCAAAAGGGATTTTTCCTCTTTTTATGAACTTTAGATGTATCTGTATGTCTTCAGGAAGAGAAACTAAGTCCAGAAGTCTGCATAAGCAATTTGCAAGTCAAAATTTCAGGTGACTGTGGGAAATCTGCCAGTAAATGATGGATGATGTTTATATGAAGAACTTGTGGAAAAATTTTCAGTGGGGACAGGATAAGTTTAGAACTTCTGTGGAGCCTCAGGACTTCCATAGAATGTAATAATCTCTGCCATTGCGAAGCTGGAGCAATAGTGCTTCCCTCGAGTTCTGCTCACATACAATCGTTTAGCATTTTACTGTTTGACATGTGTTTGTACAAGGCAAGTGTGCATATTGTGAATGGTATCTAATAAGACAGGAATTTCTTACTACTGCCCTGAAAATGGAGAATTAACTGCAGTTTCTGTTCTGGATTCCTTAGTCCATTCCTTCTTGAGGACTTTTAGGGAAGGGACAAAGTGTCTTTTATAGTGTGTACAAAACCCACCTGCTTCAGTAATATATGAACAGATGTTCTGATGTGTGACAGCAATTTGTGAAGATTTCCAATCTTCTCCTTCCAAGTCAGCAGTACTGTTGAATCTTTTGCTGCCTTCTGATTGTCCTTTGAGGAAGACAAAGAGTATACTGGCATAGTGTTTAAGTTACCTCTTTAGAACAGTGCACCATATTTTTTTCCTGCTAGGAGAAGGCCTGGTCTGCAAAAAGAGATGGGGTAGAACTTTCCTCGCCTTCAGTGTGGCAGTACTTAGCACTTAAAATACCCTCAGGAGGTACCCTCTTTAATAACTTTTTATTTAACAAAAGCTGTGGGAAGCTAGATCTCCACGGTGGCGTCTGTAAAACGAAACATTTTTTTCTGGTGTCCTACTGTCAGTGATGTTAAGAGCAGAATGATTATTTAAAGTCTGTCAGCAATAAGAGGTCATGCTAGAAGTGGGGCAGGGGCTGTGCGCCCCTGAGGAATATGGCAAGAGCAGGTAATTACTAAAGAAATTGTAACTGCAGGTGAACAAGAACAAACTGTAATTTTTTCCTATTTCTATTACCAGATATACTATGGTACAAAATAACTAGCCATCAAATTTCTTTTGCAAGGTTGTCTCTTTTTCTCTCTTTTTTTTTTTCCTTCTTATAAAACCACTTTCTAATTAATTTGCAAGTTAATAACATCCCAAATCTGCCAGAATCTATTCTGCAACGTACAAGTTCTAGACTGAAGCAAGATCTTTCTAATATGTATCACTAGAAATTTGGGGAAGTTTCCATTTGGATGAAACAGAACAATAATATTTATTAGATTTAAATGTTACTCACCATTTTAGAGTAATAGTTGCCTGAAAGAGGAAAACATTTCATTGATACTTTTAAGGAGGCTTTTTTTAGTATCTACTATCACAAGAGAAGAGGTCCAATACCTAATGAAATAACCATCAGAAATAACATGTTTATGCTTTGAAAATAAGACACTTAAGATAATTAACTCTAAAGATAATAAGAAAATTAGAAGTAACTAAAGGGGATAGTTTTGCAGTTTTTAAGGTTATCTTTGTGGATGCTGTTTCTATTATAAAGTATGCCTGCTAATCAGTGAAAAGAATGGACTATGTTAATCTTACCAAATATAAGACTTCTAACTATTGTATTTCAGTAATACTTAATAATTATTTTTGAATCACAACTTTATGAATAAGTTTTGAATTTTGACATGGAAACGTAATTTCAAAGATATTCATCAGTTACAGAAAGCTCACTTCACGGCTAAACAAATACATATGCCTATAGGCCTCTATCATTCAGAATTCCAAAAATTTCCTTTCTGTCTACAGTATATGTACAGTAAGCACAAATTCATATTGGAGAAGTAAGGCTGCTGAATTAACATCTGAAATCACAATGGATGGTTTTAATAAAATTAAAAATATCCTTCATCATCTAATCCACTGATTTTCCAAAACAAGGAGTAAGTTCAGGTTTGAATGGGCTTCACTAGTGCCTTTGTGACTAGGTGAAATAAAAAGACAGGAACATAGCTACTGCATCCCCACAAGTTCAGCACTGACATTGGGCTGCAATAAATTTCTTAGGCAAGACATTCTCAGTAGTGCTTTGATCAATTTGTTGAATGATTTCTTATCCCATTTTAAATATCCAGTAAGCTAATTTCCTCTTTTCTAAAACTGACCAGTTCTTGGACAGTATCTTCAGAAGCCACAGATGCTTTAAGTTATGAATGAGCTGTGGGTAACTACTGAATGAAACCGTATCTCTGGATACACTGATGGGCCACGGTCCAGACACTAAGGTAATCCTCTTTTGAAACAATCAGAGAGAGATTATAGTCAGAAGTATATAGCGTACTAAATCTAAACTAGAAATTATACAGGATGATACTTCATAAAATTTAATTTGAATAGAAATGAAGGAGTTTTATTTTCATCGAGATCTCTAAGTTCCACCACCATTATTAGAAGATGAAGGATGAATGGGAAGACATACATCTCCAAAGTATTTTGTTTACTGTATGTACATTTTTTGCAAGAGAGAGAGATAATCACATAGTTAAATGAAAATTAGAAATTTAAACCAAAAAAACCCTTAAAATTTTCATCAGATATGCCTTAAGCACTATATAAATACTGGAATACTTTCCAAATCTGTGAACCATGTCTTTATTAATTTAATTAATTCTATTTTTATTTATGATTCACAGTTTCAGAGTGTGGATTATTAGGTCTAGCTTCTGCATTTCTTCCTTCTCTAAAATAAACTAACAATTTCTGTAGAAAAGTTTGTTGAACATTTCAGGTGGTATATATTTTCCTTTTTGCCAACTTATCAT